TACTTGTATATATAATGTATATATTATAATGTATTTTTGGTCATATATCCCCACTGTCTTCAATTCTCCCTTTTCTCCTCCAACTGAACCCTCCTACTTTAATGTCGGTGTGTGTGTGTGTGTGTGTGTGTGTGTGTGTGTGTGTCCTATTGCATTTAGTTAGGGTTGCTTGCATGAAAATTGATGAAGGTTATTTATTTGATCAGGTACAACATAGTAGTGGATACATCATTGAGGAATATGCCTTCCCTTCCTCCAGCAGCCATTAGCTGTATTTGCTCAGGGAAGGGTGGGTCCTCATGACCCTCCCCTGAACCTGTGCTGGAATATTGATAGGCCCAGTCTTATGCAAGTGACAGAAGCTGCTATCAGTTTGTGAATGCAGCAGTCATGTCATGCTCAGAAAATAGCCATTTCCAACATGCCACCACATCCACTGATGTTTACATTCTCTCTGCTTCCTCTTCCACAATTTGCCCTAAGCCTTGGAGGCAGTGATATAGATCATTCATTTAGGGAGGAGTCAACTAAGACATTCATTGTCAACACTTGAACCTGTTGCAATACCGACTTTCCAAATGCAAACAGTAGCTTCTCTGTCCAAGGCTGAGAGCAGCACTAATGTATGGGTACAAACCTAAGCATTAGAAAGGCACTATAAACTAGTCACAAGGCTGGACATTGGTGGCGCATGCTTTAGTCCCAGCACTCGGGAGGCAGAGGCAGGTGGATCTCTATGAGTTCAAGGCCAGCCTGGTCTCCAGAGTGAGTGCCAGGATAGGCTCCAAAGTTACACAGAGAAACCCTGTCTCGAAAAACAAAACAAAACAAAACAAACAAACAAACAAACAAAAAGCGCAAAACAAAGAAACTAGTCATAAGAAAGATTCCAGCTCAATTCCAGTTGGGAGTCTCTACATTCTGCAAGCAAAATACAGTAAACAAAATAAATAAAGGCTATATATGGGGAAACAACAGCCAACATCATCCTAAATGGAGAAAAACTTGACACAATACCATTGAAATCAGGAACAAGACAGGGTGGTCCATTATCCCTTTTCCTTAGGGAAACACAAATCAAAACTAGATTTCATTTTATCTCAATCAGAATGGCTAAAGTCAAACAAAACAAACAACCTATGCTGGAGAGGATGTGTGTAAAGGAGACCCCTCATTCGTTCTTGGTGTGACTGCAAATCAATCAAACCACAGCAGAAAACTGAATGGAGAATTCTCAAAGAGTCAAAAATAAATCTACCATATGGCTCAGCTATACCACCCTTTGGCCAGCAGGCGTCTCTATTCTATACCATAGATATTGCTTAGCCATATTCATTGCTACTCTGTTCACAATAGCTAGGAAATGGAAACAACCTAAATTCCCTTCAGCTGATGAATGAATAATGAAAACTAACATAGGTACATAACAGAAAACTAGTCAGATGTGAAGAGAAGTGACATCATGAAGTTTACAGGGAAGTGGGTGGAACTAGAACATACCGTAATAAATGAAGTAACCCAGACCCAGAAATACAAACATCAAATGTTCTCTTTGTGGTTCTAGCTCTGAACATTCAGATGTGAATATCAAGTAACCACAGATGCCAGGAAAATAAAAAAATGGTTCAGGGACAGGGGTAAGAGGTCTAGAGTGGGGAGTGGCATAACACAGGTAGTAAGGAAGGGAGAGATGAGAAAATGGAGTCTTCTAACTAGGAGAGGGAAAAGAAAGGGCACTAGAAGAGAGATAGCAGGGAGGGATAAATAACTGAGAATGCACAAAAGAACACAGGGGATCATTTTATACTTACCTAACACACACACACACACACACACACACACACACACACCTTGACAAGGATACATGACTGGGGCCATACTGTTCCTCCCAAGAGCCACAGAGTAGCTAACAAAAGCCTCAGTACCACACATGATGAAAAAAAAAAACCAAAACCAAAACCAAACAGAAAAACCTTTCAAGTTGGTTAGGGAAGTGCATGAGACTCCCCAAACAATACAGACTATTATTGCCTTTTACTGTTTCCTAGAACTTAAAGGTAAGCCCCTACTGCTGAAGACATACCATGTTTTGAACACAGAACTTGGAGTGATAGAGCTGGTCACCCAGAAGCCTTATTCTTGAGGTTCTGAGTATCAGAAGGTGCTGTGCAAGTTACCAAGGGAGAGGAGCATTAGGTAGACCTACCCAACTGTAAAGCTATGAATACCAACAAAAAATAAACCGGTAACATATCCTCAATGATTGTTAACAACTGTCCAATTCGATTTAAGGCCCATTCAACAGGAGGGAAATCCTGCCTAATACTGTAAATCTAAGGCTAGAGAACCTCCTATGAGCACTTTTCTAGATGAGTGTAATTCCTAACGGTACTCCAAAGTTCATCCTATGTCTGCAGATAAGTAGATCTCATCCTCATCAAAGAAGCTTGTTTTTGTAGCACCAGGAATCTATTACAGAAAGCATAACTAATCAGAGTTACCCTGGGATGCCCAGTCAGTCCAATTGGCACATCTCCCACACAACTCCTGCACCTAAGGTTCAGGAAACTTTGCTGAAAAGGGGGCAGAAAGATTGTAAGAGCCAGAAGAGCAGGAAGCCAGCTGTGAGCCCGAGCCCTCTAGATATAATAGAGAATCCACAGCCATGAAACATGGTTGTCTAAAAGACCCAGACAATCCCAACAATTGACTTTCCAATATAGATAGGGGACTCTCAAGGGACCCCACATCTAGATGAGCTACTATCATCAACTACTGAAATAGGGAGAACTAGTCTCCCCAGAGGTGACACCCCTAACTATCCAATACTAAGTAGTTAGCCCTAGACACAAATACATGCTGGCAACACCAAAGGGACTCAGTAAATTGTATTCATTTATTTATTCATATGTACCTGCAGCAACAGTGAAATATTAGGGAGAGAATTTGGGTGGGGGTGGAAGGTATATTGAAGGGGTAGTGATTTAATTATACTTTTATAAAAACAAAAGTTTGGAGAGCATTAGAAAAAAATGAAGTATTCCCTATACTCCTCATATTTATTGGGCCTTTCTGCAGATTCCTGATTGGCCTGTTCAAATGTGGTATAAACTCTGAGCTGCTTGTAGGATCAACGAGAATTTCTCCAAACAAATGAATGTCACATTGGTGTCATGTGGGTTCTAGGAATAGAACCAGATCCTCAGACCCATTAAGCCAATTTCCCCCCAAAAAATCTTACTTGAAGTAAAAACTACAAAATCTATGTAAGAAACTTTACTATTAGAAAATCCAAGTGTACATATAAATGTAAGTGTTAGTACCCTGGCATTATGTGACCCCGCCCACTGACAACTGGCAAGGTATGAAACTAGCCTTCAGACAGATACTTAGACAGCTCAAAGGGCCCTGTGTAGTATGGCAACATCATGCATGCCTTAAGTGGCTGCCTAAGGACTCTGTACACAGAAACCGGGCAAGCTGGGGCCACACAGAACTGGGCCAGTGGCAGCTCCATGACTCCAGTTTCAACCGCCCCAACTGCTGAGCCTCATTCTAAACTGCTCCCTTTCCCAATAAACTCCACTTGGGTTTGTTGAGTTGTGTGGTTTGGGTTTCATCGCCTGAAGCTGCAGCAAACAACAACAGTGAGGAAACTGCCAATGAAGATCAATAAGAAAAGCATAACGTGCCATGTAACGAGGAAACACTGACAATTAACAAGCAGCCTATTTTCAATTTCAAATGAGCCACATTATTCAAAAACTACACATAAATGAAGTCTCCTGGACTCTTACAAATGTACTTGAATTTCATGAATCAAACACAGCTTCACATGAAATGGAAAAAAGTATTACCTCACTTGATATTTGGAAAAAGCCCACTAAAATAAAACTGATCATGACTTGGTGGCACACACCTTTAATATCATCTCTTGGGAGGTAGAGGCCTGCCTGGTCTACATTGTGAGACTTTATTTCAATACAAAACTGACTTATCAAACTAAAAGACATCAACACATGTCCTTTATGCTGCTGCTATTATTGTTTTTCAACACAGTATTTTGATACCCTCAGTTTTTCCAAGCAGGAGAGATGACAGGCAAAATCATGCCAACATTTTCCACAAATTCCAAAACACACTTTCAAAAGAATACACTTGCTCAGTGTTCAAATTTCTTACTTTGACAACATACAGAAGAAAATTCCCTTTCACCTTATTTGAGACAACATACAGCTTATATTTTTAATGCTGAATTTTTTATTCAGTTGGAAGGGGTTCTCAACTCTCCAGGTTGTGTTCAAATTCACTGTATTTGCTGTTGTAATTCACCAGGGCCAGCAAGATGGTTTCAAACTCAGGACAACCTGAGATCCTTCTCAGGACCTACATAGTGGAAAGAGCAGGACAGACTCCTGGAAGCTGTCCACTTCCACATATGTAAAATGTAATTGTCAAAAAAAAAAAAAAAAAAGTGTCTTAGCACATTTGATGGAGCTGCTTTCCATCCAATATCACATTCCTGATGTGTCCAAATTTACACATTTTCACGTCTCCTATTCCACCTCTTTCCAGCTTTAAAAAAACAATTACACTTATGGGATTGGAGAGATGTCTCAGCAGCTCAGAACATAGGTAATGCTCTCCCGGAGGACCGTAGCTGGATTTCCAGCGCTCACCTTGGGAAGCTCACAGCTGCTTGTAGTTCCAGCTCCAGGAGAACTACCACCTCTGGCCTCTGCACACACCAATCCTCACACACATGCACCACACACCTACACATAATTCAAAATTAAAAATACCATGAAATATATTTTAAAGCCGGGCTGTGGTGGCACATGCCTTTAATCCCCGTACTAGGGAGGCAGAGGCAGGCGGATTTCCGAGTTCAAGGCCAGCCTGGTCTACAGAGCAAGTTCCAGGAGACAGGGCTACAGAGAAACTTTCTCTCAACCAGGCTGAAAAAAGAAGTATCAGGAGGAAGGGGGGAAAAAAAAATTTTCTCTAAAAAAAAAAAAAAAAAAAAAAAAAAAAAAAGAAAAGAAAAAGTATTTTAAAATATCTCATTTTTATACGTGTATGGGAGATTATGCATGCAAATGATGGCACATGTGTGCAAATCAGAGGAAAAATTTGGGGACTCAGTACTCCCTCTTCACATGGATTCTGAGGATCCAACTCAGTCTATCAAGCTTGGTGGCAAGTGCTTTTACCTCTGAGCCATCTCACTGGCCCTCCATACCATTTCATACCCAACAATAACAGCAAGTTGACCAAAGACAATTCTACATGATATACATAGTTTTAAGTTCTACCCACTGGGTTTCTTTTCCATGTGAGCTCTTTCATGTTTGTGAAGGCATGTGGAAACCCTAAATGCTTTCCCACAATAATTACATATATAAGGTTTTTCTCCAGTATGAATTCTTTCATGGTCACGAAGGGATGTGGAAATCCTAAACGCTTTCCCACATTCCTTACATACGTATGGTTTCTCTCCAGTATGAATTCTTTCATGATTATAACAAGCATCACGTTGGATGAAGGCTTTCCCACAATGCTTACAAACATAGGGTTTCTCTCCAGTGTGAATTCTTTCATGGTTGTTAAGATGACTGGCACGAAGAAATGCTTTTCCACAGTGCTTGCAAACATAGGGTTTCTCTCCAGTGTGAATTCTCTCATGAATGTAACGAGCACTGGAATGGGTGAAGGCTTTTCCGCAATGCTTACATATATAAGGTTTCTCACCAGTGTGAATTCTTTCATGCCTCCGGAATGATGTAGAACATGAAAATGCTTTCCCACACTGTGTGCAAACATAGGGTTTCTCTCTAGTGTGAATCCTTTCATGACTGTACCAGCCGCTATAATGGGTGAAAGATTTCCCACAATGCTCACAAGTATAAGGTTTTTCTCCACTGTGAATTCTTTCATGGATGAGAAGGTCATAGGAACGGATGAAGGCTTTTCCACATTGCTTACATACATATGGCCGCTCCCCACTATGAATTCTTTCATGGTTCTGGAGGGAGGAGGAATATCTGAAGGCTTTCCCACACTGCTTACATGTATAACATTTCTCTTCAGGGTGAATTATTTCATGTTTAATAAGGTGATTGGAATTAACCAAGGCTTCATTATACTGCTTACACACAAACGGCTTCTCTCCAATGGTTATTCTTTTATAGATTTGACCATAACTGTACCTCCAGAAGGCTTTCTCAACCTGCTTCCATTCATGCAGTTTATCTCCAGTGGGAATTCTCTCACAACACTGATCAGAATTGAGACTCCTACAGACTTCGTTAGCTTGCTTATTTTGATCGGCTGTCTCTCTAGGACTTTGATTTGTCTGAGAGGGCTCAGAATAAGTCAAATCTTTCCAACATTTCTCATGTGTAAAAGCTTTCTCCACTTCTTCCTGAGAGCCACTTGGCTTCTCTGTAAGTTCCCACCTGAGGTGCACACGTGAGGCAGAATGAACAAGGATGTCTCTCGAAAGCACACTGTTTGCAGATATCGCTATTGCAGGAGGCATGGCTCTTTCAACAATATGCTCTGGAATCTGTTGCTGCATTCCTCCACACCGACCACCAGCTCCATAGACACAATTTCTCTCAACCACCTGAGTTCTGCAAAAAGAGGAGAAAAGCATAACTATACTTTTATAACTCGCCAAGAGAAATGCTAGAGGCTGGATGTTGCAGCACTGTTATTACAGTATTCCAGAAGCAGTAGGAGGAAGACAGCAGGTGTTAAGTCCATGTGTATCACATACAAAGACCCTGGCAGAGGGGAAATGACACTGCTGACTTTGCCTCTATAAGAATTTATAGATTTTATAAATGGACTGAACACTCAGGTGAAGTCCTGAAGATACTATCCAAACATAGAAAGTTCTTAAATACTGCTGCTTTTAGGTGTTTCATAAATACTGTGTGTACCACAGTTAACAAAGTTGAATATTCTTAACAAAAAATGGTGTGCTTTGAAATAGCTAAATATTCTTTATGTGATTTATTGATAATAGGTTTCAATCTAAACCATCAACTCATTTTACTTCACATACCTTATACCAAAAGCTGAGAGGTGACTTGATAAAATACACTAATTTTCTTTATGAAGGACAATTTGGGGACAATGAAACAAGAAAAAAAGTCTTACACAGGTTAATGTTGCATTTTGGTAATATTCATAAACTACAGAGTTGGCACCCTCTAATTCTGAATGTTCCAACTCAATGCACTTGTGAAGAAAATTTGAGTGCCAGGGGGTAGCGCACACCTTTAATCCCAGCACTAGGGGGGCAGAGGCAGGTGGATCTCTGGTCTCTCTGGAGACCAGCCTGGTCTCCAGAGCGAGTGCCAGGATAGGCTCGAAAGCTACACAGAGAAACCCTATCTCTGAGATAAAAAGAAAGAAAGAAAGAAAGAAAGAAAGAAAGAAAGAAAGAAAGAAAGAAAGAGAGGGAGGAAGGGAGGGAGGGAGGGAGGGAGGGAGATTAAATCAATTGTACCATGATGTACTGGATCATTTGCTTGTTTCTCAGATTTCCTACCACTTCCAAATATTTGATATGAATTCCTCTCTGAGTGTATATTACCTCACATTTTTCCTGAGATTTTGGTAGTTGTCTTCAACATTTTCTTTTCCCTTTGTTTTGCCTAAAAAGCAAACCAAAAGAAATCATTATGACTTAATTCAATATCATACAAAAGCTTACTAAAGTCTCTATTTTTGTGCAATCTGACCAGGAATGCGACATTTACCATCAAGCTCCCTTCCAATACTTCAATTCGTATATCCATACAGATGAGCAAATAAGCAAAGCAATCACAGTATATTTTTTTTTACCTATGGAGATCAGGTTCATAAGGGTTTCTGTCATCACATCTCTGTAGAGCTTCTTTTGACTTGAATCCAACAAAGCCCACTCTCCTAGGGTGAAGTTCACAGCCACATCCTCAAAGGTCACGGGCTCCTGAAATAATCCACATGAAGAAATGTCAAAATTTAGCTGACAACTTGACAGGATCTAGAGTCATGAAAGATGTTGGGAACACTGAAAGCAGAGATTAAGTGGCTATTTTGACAGAAGCTTGAAATATGAGAATGCTGAAAGAAATGGGAACTGTCAAAGGGAAACAAGGACTCTCAGAAACCAGGAGAGAAGCTATTTTTTTTTCTTTTTTCAAATTTATTTATTATGTGTACCATGTTCTGTGTACATGTCTGCATGCAGGCCAGAAGAGGGCTCCAGATCTCATTACAGATGGTTGTGAGCCACCATGTGGTTCTGGGAATTGAACTCAGAACCTCTGGAAGAACAGCCAGTGCTCTTAACCACTGAGCCATCTTTCCAGCCCTGATGCTATTTGTGTTTTAACCAAAATTTGGCTTCATTCTGTCCAGAGCCTGATGACCTGAAAGGAGGTGAATTTAAAGAAAACAAAATAACTTGACATAGAAAATAAGTGTAAACAAGCTTAAAATTTTGGACAAGGAGAGTACAGATGACAAAGCAGCCATGATTGCTAAAGAGATTAGAACTGAGCACTGGGACAATATATAGTGAGGCTATTAGCAAAATGGGACTCCACTGACTTGAGCTGTGCAAACACCACTGTGGGAACAATGCACCTCTCAACTCCTACATTCTCCAGGAGGGTACTTGTATGCCTACTTTGTACAATGAAAACACTCCCTTTATTACCATGTTTCTATTCAAATAGATTCTGTAATGCTTCAGGAACCTATGGACAATTGTAGTTGGTTGTTTTTACTCTTTGCTCTTTACTCTTAGAACTTTGCCACCCAACTCCCAAATAAATACACAGAGACTTATTCTTTAAGCGTTTCTTAATTATCCCATCTATCTTTCACCTCTGGGATTTTATCTTTCTCTCTTTCTGTATATCTTTTTTTCCCTTCTTATTCCCTGTCTGTCTGTGAGGCTGGGGTTGCTGGCCCCTGGCATCCTCCTCCCCTCCTTTTCTCATTCTTATTCTCTCTGCCTGCCATCCCCACCTGTCCTTTTTCCTGCCTTGCTATTCGCCATCCAGCTCTTTAATAGACCAATCAGGTGTTTTAGACAGGCAAAGTAAAACGGCTTCATAGAGTTAAACAAATGCAACCAACATAAAAGAATACAACACATCTTTGCATCATTAAACAAATGGTCCACAGAATAAATGAATGTAACACATCTTCAACTAATATTCCACAACAGGTAATGGGCTGACTGGCCCATTAATTTTGGGTGCATGCACAAAAAGACAAATTATGTTCAAAAATTAATCTATAGGGAGACTTCTCTATTTATTATTTTATGCATACCATACTTGGGCTTGCACAGGACTAAAATCAGGTACATTGGGGGAAGGAACAATTGCAGTAAGCAAAGATTTACAAAATAGAAGCCTATCAAAACAACTATATGTATATGATACACACCTTAGCAACTAAACTTCTTGTCATCCTCATACTAAAAGGAGGCCTTAAACAATAATCTGGGCCCTTGGGTATCCCCACTCATGTAGCCTAATATTAGCCTTCAGAGTTTATTTCTAATCTGTACTATTGCTTTACTAGACCTGGCTACATAAAACTAACTTTCGTACATTGGGAGTGGTGGCCTGCTTTCTTCAGATCTCAGGGCAATTTTTCCTCTTCACATCCCCCCAAAATTGATTTGGTCAGTTCTATATTCTTTGGAATTGTTGCAAGTAATTTGCCCACAAAGATTTGTGTGTGTGTTTGTGTGTGTGTGTGTGTGTGTGTGTGTGTGTGAGAGAGAGAGAGAGAGAGAGAGAGAGAGAGAGAGAGAGAGACCTAATTGTCTCCACATGAGCATCAGAACTATTCAAGCTGTGGCATGCCAGACACGTGTAAGAATAGAAAGAGAAAAAAAAAAAAAAAGACTGGGGAAAAAGTAGTAAAATAAAAGTAGCAGCCAGAATTTGACTTTGGTCCCGAGAACAAAAATGATATTAAGAGGCAGGAGACTTTATCTTATTGTAATGTTTCTGACTAAGGCATTCCATTCCTCTGGCTTGCTCTGAGTCTCGTCCAGTCCTTGGATAAGGAGTCAGCTGCTGAGCTCCTTGCCTACTGGATTTGTGTCCTTTCTTTCCCTCTTAGCCATCCGTTTTGACTCTGTGAAACGACAGCACAGGAGTACAAATGTTTGTAATGTTTGGACTGCAGGAATAGATACTTTATCATCTAGATGGATGTGAAACTAAGAAACAGCAAGGCTGGAAAGAGGACACTCATGAGGCAGAGGCAGAGGCAGAGGCAGGTGGATCTCTGAGTTCCATGGCAGCCTGCTCAACGTGGTAAGTTCCAGGACAGCTAGAGCTATATAATGAGACCTTGTCTCAGAGAGAGAGAGAGAGAGAGAGAGAGAGAGAGAGAGAGGGGGGGGGACGGGGGAGAGGGGGA